CATTAACTATCCTTAAATTATCCGGCTCTATGGTTTATTCAAGAACAAATGAATACACTTCAAGTGAGAAAGGTCTGGGTGCATTCAGTCACATTGGCAAGACTACAATGTACCTCTCAATTCTTCTCATCAACTACTCTTCCAATAGGTTATCGAGTTAATAGAAGTAGAAGGAAGCTATCAATTTTCTAAAGAATAATGATATATATTTATAACTTAGCGAATATAGAGGGTAACTTTCTAAAGAAACTGTTATGCCGTGTCAGTGGGAGAGTATAACAGGGTAATTTAGTATTATCACCTGAGTTGGTAACGTAAATTGGCCACCGTAAAGAGTTTCAAACCTGACGTTTCAAGCGTTAGCCCTTCGTCAGAGTGTTAGCCTTTTTCCATTCGTTCTGACGAAAGGCTAACGCTCGAAACGTCAGATTTATAACTTAAGACGAGTCAAAATCTCAGAATCCACCGTTTTCTATTTTAAGGGCTGCCAATTTAGACCGTTTTTTCGTATTCAAGACAGATTCTCACTTACCTGCTCGTCGCATTCATATTAGTAGCGGCCACCGTCCTGTTCCTTGTTCCCTCCTCAATTCGACTTTCAATATCAGGGTAATCCTTGACTGGAACACTCACTAAACTCTCCACTGAGTGAAACAAAAAGGGAGAATGTTAAAGAATTGTCACAGACATTGACATTGCAGAGGTGACGTGAATGAGTCAAAAAGTTAAGAGCTTAAGGTGCACAAAAACTAATACTGTACTGTAGTGAAAGTGTTGGCAAAATGAGGTCAAATGTTCTTGCTAGGAGTATGTGCGGATATGGGCAAAATACTCACCGAACATGCTAACACATGCATCATCGTACGCAATTCAGTATGTCCCCAGATTTTTTGCACCCAGGGCAAGTTAAGTGAAGATTCAAGATTACATAACCATACTAACGTTAGACCTTTGTCTAATTAAAATTGCTGAGACCATTGTAATTAGATAAGGAGGCTGGCTTTTTTTTAATACCGTAGAAGCCTTTGGAAGGGTGCTGACGCACTTTTAGTCCTCCTTTCTTGTTACCCGCTGGGTTCAGTAGATCGCGGACCTGCATGTGACGAAATAAAACGACGAAGATGTATTAAAACCTCATGAACGGCCATTAGAGCACAGTTACTTCGATTTGATAGCTGGAAGTAGGTCTACTTCACACTTAAAAGATTGTCAATGCGTCTGCTGCATGTGCGTGACACCTGCACTGTCAATAAATGTCTTCAAAGTAGTTTTAATTAGTAGTTAAACTATGATAGAAATGTCTTTCTGCATTGATTTCCCTTTGTAATATAATATGAGGTGAAGTTCCTTTAAGATTTCTCTGTAATGTTCTTTATTTTCTCTCCCTGCTGGTACATTTTTTAGGCAAGGCATCACTTAGAGCAAAAAGTTGGGCAATTCCTGAACAAGTTACACCTACGGGAACCAATCAGATTGCTAGGATTACCAGCAATTTTAAAATGGATGTAAAAAAGATGTAGATGTAACTTACCGCTTCATTGTAGATTTCAAGCATGCTAAATGTAACCTGGAATGGAAAATGAATTGAAATTTTCAAACTTAATCTAAATTGTAAATTTCAATAACCTGGTATTGCAGAGCAAGCAAATTAAAGTTGTTAGCCAAAGAATATCAAAGACTTCACACCCCCCCCCTCCTCCTATTATGGCATGGCACCAGTGAACCCTCCTGACACACGACACCCTCCCCTTGATGGCATGGCTCCAGTGAATCTTCCTGACAGATGAATCTAACACATACAGTGTGACTTACTCACTCTTAACTGATTAAAGCTTTATTGAGCAACTAATTTGTGCAGTATATGCAAAAAATGGCAATGTAAGCCATGTACAAAACCCCAAGATATGACAAGCAAAAAAACCATGACAGTAAAAAATTTTTCAAAACTTAATTCTCAGTCCTTGACACTCAAAAACCCTCAAGGTACTGTCAAGGCCTTACTTGTCAGTTTCCAGAAATTTGAGGTTCTTTAATTTAAATGATTCTCCAAACTTTCCAAGATTGGGAAACAGAATTTTTAAGTCAAGATTCTCAACTAATATTTCAGTGGTAACTGTATCTCAGGATCACCAGACAAGAACCATTTGACAAGAGGAAGTTGATTGCAGATACATTCACCATGTATAAAATTGTTGTAAATCATAAGTCACTTAAAATACCTGGTATTCTGTTTCTGACCCTGCACTCCTCTTTTGTTCAACTTCACTGAACAATGTCTCACAAAATATTGGAACAATACCTGTGTACAATATAGCAAAAATTTGACAAAGTTTATGCCATATGTAGCATATAACTCATGTACAACTATAACCTCACTACGAAAAAATCAAAAAAGCTAAATTAATCACCATTTCACAAACATTTTCCTATATTTACCCTTATTCTGCCCATAGCCAACCATGGAGTAAGATTTCCCGGACCCAGTCTGACCATATGCAAACAGCGAGCAGTTATATCCATTCCATGCATTTTCGAGGACTCCTCGTCCCAAGTCATCAAAGACACGTTTCTATATGGTAATTAAAACACACAATTAACAAAATAAAGTAAAATAACAACTCACATTTACAAAATCAAAACTGTCACAAAATAAAAATTACTAGGTAAATGAAGTTTTGCTTTATTCTATCAACATAAAAAAGAAGCCAAGCATAGTTCAATTATTCCATCACTTTTAAACTGGCAATACGTGTTTCTTCTTCGAAATTAAAGGATACCACACTTGTTAATACAGTGCAGGCCAACAGGAATCTCAAGAGTGTTGGGGGAACTAATAGATTACTTATCTTTAGCAGATACAAAGCCTCTTTAGATAACAATTGGATAAGATACATGTAAGAATACACCAAAATGCAAGGAATAAAAAAAATTCATAAAAAATGTAATCACAAATGATTGCGATTATAAACATGGAAATATTTGCATGCATTATATTGTCTATGGTAATAGTAAAAAACCAACATGAAAAGATTTGGCTAAAAATTTTTAAAGTCTCAATTAAAAAAAACTGGCCTGGTTTCTATTGTGACAAAACTAATTGAGCCAACTGACAAGCTGTGATAAATCACAGTAACAAATGAGCCAATTGCCGCACCTGATCTGCGTATTGAGGTTCAGCAGATGCAAGATACCCGTCATCAAGCTCTTTGAACCCATCATGTGACCAGTAACTAAAATCAAAGGCAAACTTTCTTGGTTCCTCCCCTGGGGCTCCAGGATCTGCAATGTAGGTATTGTTACCCTGCATCTTGATAATTAATACAGCTGCGCGAGCTTTCTCGCGAGAATTGTGCAAACTGTCAAGGATGTTTAACCTGACTTCATGTGTGCAACACTTGTGTAATTCAATCATGTTAAAATTAGAAAGGGGATAGTGCTGTTGTGTCACATAAAATATCCACAAGCCTTCTGAAGTAAGGGTTCATGCTGCAGCTTTGGTTTGTCACCTCTCCCCTCCCCCCTCTCCACTCCTTCTTCTTCATGCAGCCTTCAGTACAAAACTAAACAAACTAAGCCAAATGAAAAAGACTAAAAAAACTGCGACAAAGAGCAGAGCGAAAAAAAAAGGAAACGAAAACAAAACAAAACAAACCAGTCGAGTAGACAGATAAAAAAATCAAAAATAAAAAAAAAAAGTAAAAAAAAAAAGAATGAAATGAAAGAATGACTTGAGACAAAACTCAACTCTAGAGACAGAACAACTTAAATTAATCCTCTAGGTAATTAGAGTGGCTATTTGCATTGCCATTCACGACCATGAAAATGCTTCATGACCCGTCTCTTACAAGCTGCTTCATGAGACATGAATTAAACAACAGTGTAATCTACATGAACATTGTTTAAATTGAGAACCATTCATAAATGCATGTTTGACTAAAAGTTCTGCGTGTTTATCAAGTCTACAAACTTTTTCATTTAGAGTTGTTTGAACTTCGTGAGCTGTCACTCTTCATAAAGTAGCATTCAAAAGCAATTACACAATTGATGACTGTTTTGAATGCAAATTTTCGGGCTTAGGTGAGCCCAATATCTAATGCACTTTATTAAGTCAGCTGTTTACTGAGATAAAATAAATCTGAAATAGGAAATGTATGACAATGATATTCTCCACTAAAGAGAAAACTCAATTAACGATTTATTGGAAACGGTCTACCACCTGCTATCCTCTAGGTAATTACTAAATAAGAGATGCCTTACAGTACGAATACATCTCGATTGATCGGTGAACTGCAAACAACAAATCACAAAAGCAGACACATATATTTAGAATCGGAGGCCAATATTTGCCGAAGCATAGGTAGACGGATTATGACAACAATCCTGCATTACAATATACACGATAAAAAGGATATAAATGGTCGAACCCTCACAGCAACCCGTACGTTCTCGGCCATCTTTAGCGAAGACAAGTGTCTCACAAATTGTCTCCTTGGCTACGAAGATACCCCACGCAAATTTATCATTCAGCCGAAAAGGCCCTTGTTTTCACACTAAAATGACATCCAGTTTGTAAATTAGCACTAAAGTAGTTTTCCAAGGCTCTCGATCTCGAGTAGTTCCAAGTAAGTCACTCGATCGGTAAAATGTTTGCAATCACTGCTGTGAGGTCACGCTGATTATTGTCGACGTCACTGATTGACGACCGTGTTTGTATGCGTTGCGTTGCCAAAAACATTGTATGCACGTCGCTGATTTTCTTTGCCGATCGAAGTTTACTCTGGAAATGCCCACTGTGTAACAACAGAAAGCTAGTTTATTTTTTAAATCGTAGCAGATGTACAATCGCTTTTATGGAGCTCAGCCTCGTCTTTATTAAAATTTTAGTTTAACGCTCCAAAATATCCTTTCCCCTCCCTGGAAGGAAGAAACATTCATATCCCCTTAGGTGTGGGTTAGGGAAAGATGAAGATCTCCCATCGACCCTTGTGGTTATACACAGATCCAAGATGGCGGATGTTGTGCTTTTAAGGGTAATTCGTTCTTCTTACGGTAGAACATGGTCTGGGACTCGACTTCTCAGAACAGCAACAGCTGCTCATACAGGTAATTTCAAAATGCTCTGGTTAACTCTGGTTAAGGACCGGCCTGGAATAAAAAACAGTTATTACTATTATTATTATTGAATACGAGAGTGATCTTAGTAGTAATGAACACCCCTTAAGCAGTAGTGAAATTAAAGCCTGAAAATTTCAGGCCTGTACGGGAGTTGAACCTGCAACCTCTGCAATACCAGTGCAGTGCTCCACCCGCTGAAGTAGTGTTCATTATTGCTATGATCATTCTGCTCAGTTCACATAAAACTAAAACTTGGACTGTATACTTTGTAAACGATTTTAAAAGTTGAACGCAATCTGCATTGGTTGGATCACTTTTAAAATAAGTTAACACCAAAAGCTGGTCAACTGACAGCTAAAAGGTTTCTATAGTGAGTTGTTCTTCACAATAACCTCATTTCTTTGTCTGTACAATGTTTAATTCTATATAAATTATATTTGGTTCTTTATTTCTATTTTTTACACGGCGTGGAATCATTTTCATTCTGCAGCAGCCCTGAGAAAGTCCATGAGAAAATCAAATGTTACCAAGCTGAGCCTGTGTGCTTCATGTGTAAAACTCAGAAAGCTGTCTAGTCCATCAAGTGTTGCCATACCAAGTCAGGTGGTTACTGCCAAAAGGTTTGAATAGTTGTTTTCATGTATACTGTTTTGACAAATTAAGTTAAAAGAAATCCATATGCAATATCAAAATATTTCCTTTGGATGCCAAATACTCAGGTGGATGCGGTGATGTCATTTTTATTGTAATTTCATGTTTGTTGCTCACCCTGTGTTAGATAACCTAGACCACAAGTATTCCCTCCTTTTCAGTGAATATGGAAAAAATTAGTGAAAAGAAATCAATTGATAAGATTTTTGTGAAACAAAACACCTAGCAGATGGGGTTCTTTCCAAAGCCAGTAAGCAAAATTGTGAGAACCTTTTTTCCAGTGATAAGAGCTTCAAGTGCCTCAGTCTGCTCTAATCTGAAACGCTGACAAGCATTGACATGCATGACTTCTTGTTGACAAATAGCCCATAGCCAACAATATTTTTGCACTATGAGCGCAACACAGAATTTAAACTCTTGGACTCAGTCCATAGTCCCTTGTTCAAATTGCACAATGGACTTCACTGATAAAGGGGGGACTGCTCATAGTCTATCTAGATAACCATGTGAAACTTCTTTCAGTTGACCAGTTCAATGAAGAATCACAGAAATTATAACATCATGTATGATACCTGAGCTATTGTTCTCTTTGGTTTGCAGTGCGGAAATAGAAAAATCAACAAAATACCAACCACTTCACGTGAGTTACAGGGAATACAGAAGTAACTTTGTTATTTTCAAACAAAGCATGCAAAAGTGGAACAAATTAGAGAGAAGTGATTTCAAGTGCTAGTGTCATTTGGGCTGCTTTTTACTTAATATGTATTCACACTATTTAATTGTTTCCTATTTAATTATTTATTAAGTAAATTAGTTAGGTTGGCCTTTTCCACTCTACCCTGGTAAAAATTTCAAAGCAAAACTTAATTTTTACAATTGCTAGTAGCCTTAACATTCTAATCTGGAAAAATTGTCCACAGATAATGGACCTTCTCTGGAGCACTTTTACAATTGGTAAAAATACTATCATGCAGTTTTATCCTTTCAGTTAAGCTTATTAAGTTTTTATAACAGTTAAGAAAGTAATCAGTCATTACGCTGTCATTGATGCATTTTCAAATTTTTCTTATATAAAGTGGATGAAAAACACTTAATCTCTTTTCCACTGTAATCAGGAAACTTTTGTTCTGTTATAGAGTGAAAATGCCATTTCAAATAACCACTGGTGTATGTGCAGTGTGATCAAAGCTTGTTCATTAATTAATTTGATTCTTCATTTAGCTTTGTATTGTTAAAATATATATCATTTGCTGCAGGCAATGCCATTCTCTGTAACACAAGGAGGAAAATGTGTTGCCCATGTGTTACTGAAGTACAAACCCAAAAGAGCTTTAGTGTTTGTGAGGGCAAAAGGTAAGTGCTTATCAAAGCAGGCACCAACAGATTTCAAGAGATTAGAATGGCCACTTCACATGTGAGTTTTGCCCCTAAGCATGCATAAGGGGGTAGTTGGACAACAAATAAACGATTTGGGAATTGTAGAGGTTTTGCATTGATACCAAAATCTGGGCTTGTGTTGCCCATGGAGATGGAGATATGATTTATTTGAAATGTGCATGCCACAAAATGCTGATGTAAACTTTTACTTTAGTTCATTACCTGAAGCCTGACAGAGTTGAATTCCACACAAGTCATGTAGTTGTACTGTATGACTATACATGTACATACATGAGGATACCAAAAGGAGGAGAGAAAGGGGGGGTCCCTGATTCCATTTTACATAAAAATTTTAGAAAAAATTCACCTGTCACATTTATTTTAAACAGTATTTCATGTGTCACAAATATATAAGGGAAAATTTGAAATCTAACTTTACCTTGCCTTTTTGAAAAATTCATGTATCAAGTATTAATTTTAAGCTTAATTATGCATCAGATGTAAACCCTTTGGCACCTTCATATATGTGCAATATTGAACATATTCTGCTATGATAATCCCATTTTAAAGTCTTGACATGAGTGTAACCTACACTCCTATTATATCTAAGATGTTTTCTCTGGTTTTGCAGTCCTTGCTGTGGAGCTTGCAAGAGAATTAGAGGAATATGGTCTGAAATGCTCAGTACCTACAGCTGAATATGAGGCTGATTCTGACACTGAGTTGGATGGGGTAACCCCTCAGGTGTGTTTTAATACACTGTGTGTTGTTAACTTGGCATAGTATTTTGCTCTGCAATGTGAGTTCATGAAAGAACTACAAATTGTTTGTGTATGTTTGTTTATTTACTCAATGGAAAGACTGAACATAAAGAAGCTATTCATTGTCAACTGAATCTTAACAGGAAGCTGCGCACATGTACAGTTTACATCCAGTGACCATAGACATTGATGCACAAGACATAGAGGTGATGGACAGACAGTCAGTTGGCACAGCAGTTGGGGAACAGCATTCAGCTGACATTGAGGAGGTAGACAGAGAACCAATAGAAAGAGAGGTTGGAGATACAATGAAAATGTCAGATGATGAAGGATCATCTATACGTGTGGTAAGTGGCTGTAATCCTATCTTTCCTAAGATCCAAAATTAAATTTATTGTTTGACAAATTAGCCAATTTTATCAAAAATTAATTATTGATAAATGTTAATTATTTTTTCAGATGACAGAGGATGAAGTGCAGTCCATGGATGAATTGCTTCCTGTGGACTTGATTATCCTTGGTTAGACACTTCATAGCCTCGAATGTGTTGCTGATATTTCCAATTTTTTGAAATATTTTTTTGAAATCTTCAAATATTAAAAACCTCCTTCTCTCCCAATTCAAAAAAAATAGTGTTTAGCACCCATGTCACAAACCAGTTCAAACAAGTTTACTTTTTTTTTTTTAGTTTATTGTTATTGTTTAATTTTGTTTTAAATCTATTTTAAGCCTTAATTATCTCCTTTTTCTCTCAGTCTTATCACCCTCAGCCTAGCAAGTGTTTATCAGCTTTTTTACTCTCTGTTGTGTGATATGTAAAGGATTTGGGCTATCCAGAGTAACTAAATTACTGTCAAGTTTTCCCATCATGGATAGGCTGAATATAGATATTACTGACCATAAATATTACTTTCAGTTCAACAGCCCATGTCAGGGAGATCGTTCACTCTGTACTGTCTGAAAAAGACACATGCAAAAGTTAAACCACTTGACGTGGTTCTTCTTTATGGACAAAATGAAATTCCCTTCCTCAGAGAGGTAATAATTTGACAGATGATGGAGTTGTTCCTAGATCTCACCACATGTTACTTGTTGATCAACTGTTCTTCCCCTTACTTGAATGTTTGTATCATGGTGATTTATTTATTTGTTAGTGATCCTTTGATCGTTTTGTGGCAGATGCAATCTCATGTAGATGTTAAAAAGTTGGCACCGCCATCATTTCAAGGATTGTCTGTGATGGCTGAGGCGCTACCTTCACTGAGTGAAGAAGAAGACTCCATGGTATGTCACTGCTGCAAAGATATACATGTACATGTACATCTATGTTATTTTCCGGGCGAGAGATACTTATGGGAATAATAACTGTTTCCGAGATGTTCTACTCAAGACGTGTACGTTAATAGTTGATGTTGTTTTTTTCTTTAGATGACTCCTGCGAGGCACTTAATAGAGCCACCACCTCCTTCATTCACGGCAACCATTCCGCCAAAGCTCGTACCGTTTAAAGTGTTTAGTCCTCCAGTTCCTGTGCCAGTCAAGGTAGGCAACGGAAGGGGTGTAGAATGCACTTTTCGTGTAGCACGTATTGATTATATGATACGATAGTAGGGCGCTTAAGGAACGAGCCGCCAGAGGGATCTTGCATACACACACTCTCCCTTATTGTTAGAAAACAATCCGGGCTTTCGTGTAGCTTACAAAGCAGAAGTGAAAAATGCAATTGAGACCCCACTTACGCTCACCTCTATACATTGGCTACTTTCCTACCATAGCAATTTTTTTTTGTCCCGGTCGGCAGTCTATATATACATTCTTGTTTTATCTTGGCACCAGCCATCTCTCCATCCTTGAAGCGGCCGTTAACCTTTTAACTCCCAAGATCTGATTGTTAATACTCCCTTCTAACTTCCCATATTTCCTTGTAAATCAGTTATGTGAATCTAGTGTTAGATCAAGACAACAACTTCTACCAGATAAGTTGGAGTTTTCTCGTTACCTGTTTGCAGGATAATGTATAGATATTATAGGCAGAAGTTCCATGTTAATCACTTCTAGGAGTTAAAGGGTTAAAACGCGACCTAACCGCGAAAGCAAGCCTGAAATGATAATTTGCTACGGTGAATAAGCATTAAGAAGTTAAGAGTAACCCGTTAAAGGAAAACGGTGATTGAACCTTTCCACTCCCGAGATCTAAATTGTTAATCTCCTTACCGTCTGTTATACAATTCTTATGATGTTATCTCGGAGAATTTGGTATTGGATCAACTAATAATCTTCTAATTGATTTAATTACTTATTCCCATCACTTGTCTGCGTGATATTGTACTGATATTGTAAGGAGAAATTCAGTCTTGGTCACTCTTGAGAGTGAAATGTTAAGATGGCTAACATGAACACGGTTTACTAATAACAGACCTAGAAAAACTTCGGCTAAATTTTTTAAGATGCACGAGTCGCGAAAACGAGCCCCTTTCTACTTTTAGCTTTCAAGCACTGTGACGAATGACAAAGCAGAGACGGTTTGCGCTGCCGTATTTCACTTTTGATAATTCATTGTTATCATGTTACTGTTACAGAGACCGGAGCGCCATGGGCTGGACGACCGCGCCCGTATCTACGTCCGTGGTGGGGGTGGTGGCCAGGGATCACCTCGCTTTGGTGGAATGGGAGGGGATGGTGGGGATGTGATTGTCAAGTGTCTTCCTTACGGTGACCTACGCCATTTTGCTATTAAAGAAAACCGACGGATCATCGCTGAACATGGCACTTCCTTTAGGTGAGAGAGTCCCTGTTGTCATTTTACCGAACCAAAAGGTTATAGGCTTCTGGTTAAATATACGCAAAGCTTCCAAGGGACTTTTTAATGAGACTAGGAGTAAGAGAGTAAGAGCAAGAGCCATGACTGCATGTTTTAAGTTTATGTCCAGTAACCTTTCTGTTTCCAAGGTATCCTGTCCTCTCTAAGGTGGTAGTGGGAGGGGGGGGGGGGGTCATTGAGAAACCTGACGATATCCCAAGTGGAATGATATTTCTGTCATTAACTTTTCTTGTGTAACCACACTGTAAATCTGCTTTTCAATTCCTATCGTGTAGTTCAACTGACCACACTCTAATTGCTCTCTAACTTCATTGTGTAGCATCGATGAGAGAGGCCGAAAACATCGTGGAATCCGTGGTCGTGACATAATAATCCCTGTTCCGCCTGGAACCACTTTGTCAACAGATGAAGGCAGGATTATCGGAGAACTGGAAGAACCTGGGTCCAGGATTGTTGTGGCCAAAGGCGGCCGTGGAGGTTGTGCTGTCACAGAAAACTGGGGCGGAGAGAAAGGCGATATAAACATGGTTAGATTGGAGTTGAGGCTGAAGTCTGACGTAGCCTTGGTTGGGTATGTACTGCATGTATGTACTATGATAGTGTTTCGCATTCTTCTAATTTAACCTGACACTGTTGTTTCGCATTATTTTGTTTTTAGTTTTTAACTACCGTCAAAACTGCCATCACCTTCTGTATAATTGAAATCATATCCTTTAATTCCGAATAGAAATACAAGTAAATAGAGCAATTTACGTCCTCAAAACAAAAAACAAACAAACAAAAAAATACAGAGTTCAGATATTTAGTGTACGGTTTGTTTGTAGATGCGTAGTGACATTTATTCAACGTATGGACGAGAAAGCGTAGCCCTCTATAGTTACATGTTCTTCGATGACGTTGTCAGAATGTTACGCCCGTAATCATGCTAAATGATCCACCTGCCCGCCACTCTTTTAACCCTTTGATTCCCAGAAATGATTAACATGTATCTTCTCTCTGCAATATCTGTATACTATACAACAAACAGGTTATGAGACTACTCAAACTTATCAGTTAGAAGCTGTTATCTTGATCTAATACCAAATTCACATAATTAGCTAATTTAGAAGGAAATGTGTAGCAGCCGGAGGAGAGAATTAACATTATGATCTTGCGAGTTAAAGAATTAAATAACTACCCAACCAACCGGCATGCCAAAACCGTTAGGGACGTTTGTGTTTTTTACATGATAACTGAAAGATGTGGTAAAGTGTCCTGGTCATTTTTCACTTGTTAGATTTCCAAATGCAGGCAAGTCCACTCTGCTAACTGCCATCAGTAATGCCAACCCAAAAATTGGAGATTACGCTTGTAAGTCACTGTTTGATTGTGAGTGATTCGTTTTACTGTAAATCAACCCGTCTACTCTGATCAGGGAGATTGTTTGTGTTTTTGTAACAACACTTTGAAAAGGATGTTTAAAGGAAGAAGTCGAGTTTTTAGCGAGCTTGATGTATCATCATTATAGGAGCGAAGCTTTTGCTGTTTCTATCCTTAGACTCTTAATGCACTCTTGAGTAATTTTCGTTTGTCGCTCCTGTCACCAAAAGGAACTTTTCCTTGATATTTGCGATAAATTGTTACAAGATGAACGAAGTGTGACGTGATTCCTTTATTGCTCATAACTGGCTTTTGCACTGGTCAAAATGTAACTTTTCCCTTCGTAGTTACGACAATGCGTCCAAGCATCGGAATGGTGGAATACACGGATCATTCTCAGGTAAAAAGAGTGGTAACCTGCCTACATTTCAATGTTGCATCTTGTTATGTCAGTCTAAAGGTGAAGAGAAACGAAAAGCGAGATAGCAGGAGTGTGAGATCCACATTGCTGTGCAAACGAAGTTCTGTACTTTTTCTTTCTTTTCAACGCTTTCAACGATAACGGGCCAAATATTGACAGGGGTGTCACTTCGGCTTATAGTGTTGGCCTTCTTTACTGTCGGAAATTCAATAGAGAAAAAAAACTGTTAGGTTCAGTGTAACTGGAAGTCTCTTCTTTTCGCAGGTTCGCGTGGCTGACCTTCCCGGATTAATAGAAGGAGCAGCAGCTAACAGGGGACTGGGTCACGCTTTTCTGAAGCACACAGAAAAAGCCAAGGCCCTGGCACTAGTTGTAAGTAACACAAGTCTGTTTAGAGATTTGATTTTAGGCATCCACTCTTGAAACTGCTGTATTCGAATATGTTTTGTTGCCCTTTAAGGGCTTCTCTGTAACAAACCGTATAACTTTTCCACCTATTTGTTGTAAAAGGATGGAAACATTATTGCTTTGAAGTTTTTTTTTTCATTGTCTCCACTTAAGCATGATGTTGTTGTAGTCTCCTTACATGAGTCGGCCCGGTCTCCCGAGATGTATTCACCACCTCCGTATTTTCTACACATTTACATTTAATAACTCATTTCGCCCCCCAACCCACCAAAATTGTACGATGGAAATGCTGTAAGGAAATATATAAATGACGGACTCTTAAATTTTGCTAGGTTGATATCGATGGCTTCCATTTCAACGATAAATTCCCTGCGAGGACAGCATTTGAAAACGTGTGCATTTTACTCAAGGTATTTACGCTATCATTAATTTTCTCCGGGTTAACCAATGACCGTCATCGTCATAATATCATCACAAATACAAGTGAATGATGGAAAGAATCAGCAAGTATGAATGTTCCAAATGTTTTTTTTTTTCGCTTAAAGGAAATTTGTTTGTCTAAAACCTATTCCTCTCCCCTCGGTGTTTGTCTAGGAGCTATTTTTGTACAAGAGAGAGTTGTTGAATCGACCAAAGATGCTTATTGTGACGAAGCTCGACCGAAAAGGGGCAATTAGCAGATTTCAGGCTTTGAAACAGCAGTTGCAGTCTATTCAAGAACAAGGTAAGCTTTCAAACGCACTTGTCGTGGTGTAAAGTAGAGTAACATGCAAGGGATATTTTAAAGGTCAATGTAAAATCGTTTTATCGACTTGAGTGACTTGGGTGAATTCTAGATTCTCTGGAGTGACACAAATGGAAGTATACAACTCTTGTTATATGCGCCCCTCGACTAAACAATGGTTTTGAAATCCTCTTACTGACTTTGTAGTTTCTCATGTTATGAAGGGCCCTTTGTACAACCCACGACAGTATAAAAAACAAACAAGCAAAAAGTTGTATGGTTATCAAGCTGGTATTTAGGCTTAAGAATAGGGAATCACCTCCTGCGAGGGCTCGAGCGCAGACCTCGAGCCAGTTTTCAGCTTGCTCATTGTATGGCCAACTCATCTGTTACGTTGAATTTAATATTAAGAATTTACAATCGTGAAGAAAAGACTGAGTATTAGCTCTGGACCAGGCTCCCACCGGGCTTTTGGTCCAGAGTTTGATACATGAGGCATGGTAAGACTATCAGTTCAGGTGTTTTTAGATGTGATGGAGCCCTCAAGTTGCTTACAATAGTGTCCCTGATTTTAATGTTTTATTTATTTTCTATTTTCAGAGACTCTCCTCTCAGTTTTGCAAGAAATTTCTTCAAACAGCCCAGCCCATCATCAAAATGCAAGCTTAATCGAATTAACGGAGGAGTTAGCGAGGACAAATTTCGAATCGGTTGTACCGTTTTCCGCTGTGACATCTTTTGGTTTAGAGGGCGTTCTGAATAAAATCAAAGAACTTATGTAGATAGGCATTAGAACAATTGAAATTTCATTACGATGAGACAAATATGTACAGATGGCATTTGAATACCTTAGATATCTTAGGGTTGATGTCTGTGTGATACCAATTCATCGGTCCTCTAAATTTTACGTTTCTGTAAGAAAACTGAGAAACACAGTTTTAGATGAAAATATAAAACCAGCTTTGAATACGAAATAAATACCACTCAGACTTGTTGTGCTTAATATTTTGAAACTACTTAACAATTATTGGATTTCTTGCTATGTAACTTGTACTATTATAGAATGTAGATATAAAATACATAGCTTGGGCAAGAAACATCAATGAGGGCGGGCTGGATGAAATGGAAGGTAAAATTTCCTTTTTCCCCCTGTAAAAGTGATTGTTTTGCCTTTCCATTCCATTTGCAGCAAGACCACGATAATATATAACATTAAATTTGAAATTCGATAAAAATTTGACATATCTGCCACACAGCATAACTTGCATTCGATAACTGTCAAACTTTTTGTGACATAAAATGAAGTGCTATGCAATACACACTTTTTTCTCAATATCTTTGTAAAAGTGGGCTAGCTGTGCTCTCCGATCAGGAAACGCAGGAAGTAATGAGTTTTCTTTTTTTAAATTTGTGAACGTTTGATGAGAATTTCAGCATGTTACCGCAAATTGAATGAAAAGAAGATAGCTCCTTTTAAAAGTATTATTTTGAAAAGAAATTTAAAAATTTCCGCTGTTCGTCACCTGCTTTCGAAGGTGCTAGGAGTTTAAATATTTTATTTATAACTTTCACATACAATAGCGTTGACGTTCCTTATATTAAAGGAAAAAAAACGCGATTACTCAAGAATTTCGAATAAATAATATTTGAATTCGATTTATTAAAACTTTTTATTTAGTTTTCGTGAGTCTTAAAGTATGCTAGACCAACTTTCAGACTTCTTGTCCTGTAATATAATGAATAGACGGCTAGAGAGAGCGCCCTAATTTCCGAGGCATATAACTGCATGCATAAGAATTTCAAACTGTAGGTATTTGCGCTAATGAAATTTCTTCCCATCAAGCGAAAACTGATACTGCCAACTGCCAATGTTACCTTCACTTACGAAACCACAGAGTTTATCGTGTGAGGACTTCATTAGCTTATGTAAACTTCGAAAGTCAAATATCAGTAACTTTACAAACTCTTTGGAGTCAATTAATAATTAAACACTGAAGAAAGTTCAAAAGAAACTTTTTTTACTGAACGTTACTAATGGCGTGCTCGAAAGATGGTAGGCATTTTTTGTTTTTCCGAAACAAGTATTGGTATTGAGTGTTACTCATGTCGATCCCGTCTTAACAACTGGTTATCGCGATGGTAAGCGAGTGTATTTAGAGCGGATATCGATATTTTGTCTTACTGCGAGCAAATTTTGGATATATGATCTCCCACGCATTTTAGTTCAAGCTTACTAAATACCACATACTGTTGCATTGTCTACATTATGAATGAGGTACTTACGTGCTTGTGATTGGTGCAGCAATTCCAAACAATTCAAAATTAACTTGGCAACGGATCATTAGAATGAAAGATGAGAAACATGCAGATGGCAACCTTTTCGTTGACAATAATTGTGCCTGATGCCTCGGAATAAACCAAACATGCCAAGTTAATAATATGCGGCGGAACATGCTCACTGATTTGGAGGCTGAAGACGGTTCACCGCCTTTCATGAGGATTCACTCCCTTCCAAACACAAAAGAAGACCGTGAAAAAGCTACGAAAGACAATTCTGGTGTCGGCGGCAGCCATGTTTCGAGCCCAGTTGACATGGCTCAAGACAAAAGTCAGCACCTCTCAAACTCGTGGAGCGAAGGAAGCTGGGCTTTTCGAGCGGAAGATATCGCCGAGGAGTTCCCATCTTTAGAAGTACGCCACGAGGCCATGAAACGAGTTTTTCAATCGCTCGAACAAGAAAATGACGGACGAACCAGTCGCTTGGAAACCTCGAGGATGCCTGATAGCGACAGAGCCAAAGTAAGTGGTTTTGACAAAGATGAAAGCGGGGACTTTTATGCCAAGCTTCAAGAAGCAGTCGAGAAAAGAGTGACTGCTAATTTTAATAGGTTGTCGCATCCTAGCATGGCAACGGTTGACGTCTTAGACGTGCCGCATGAAAACAAGCCGAAGACGGCTCCGTCTGTTGAAGATAGCACAAATGGAAAGGCCTACTTCTTTCCTGAACTTCGTAGTTTGATCGAAGACAGATTGGAGGAAACCAAAGTAGAAACACTATCGAATCGCTTGGAGCGAGAATTGGCACGTAGGCAGCAGCTCTGTAATGAGCAGGCCTTGATGTTACAGTTATTGATGAATCGGATTCAAGAATTGGAGAAGCGTCCAGTGAAGGGAAGTTCGTCTGGTCCAGTGAATGGATGGCCCCGACGGCCCCGTTCAAACTCAGGTCTGTACTGCTACACCAGCAACTTCGTCGTTGAGAAGGCGACGCAGACACCGAGTGACCTTCACGACGCAGAAGGGGTGTACGTTATGGTTGCGCGAAGCTCAGGAGCCAAAGCCAAGAAGGTACAGAAAAAGTTTGTATACGGGTATCCTGAGAGGATCACAGAAGAGAAACAAGTTTCGGCGATCTTGAACAGAAAAATTGTGACGCAGCAAATCGAGTTCTTGCCGCCAATTCCTGATCCATTCGCTAAGCGAAGACCTCGAGAGGTGAAGAAAGCTGGATGGCACACGATGTGACACTGAATGCAAATTACTCACAGAATTTCTCTAATCTTTGCAAAACCGTAAGATTATTGTTTATAGAAATCAGTATGGTACATATTACATTTCTGCGAGTGTGCATGTAGTAGATCTTACACTGCTTTCAACGAGGCCCAAACATTTACCTGGCTTTTGGAGGGGTCAAAAAGTTTCTCTGCGTCACTTACAGTACATATTTCAGTTATGTCGAGGAGAGGAGGAAAAATTGGCTAAGCTTACTAAGTTCATTTTCATTCAAATAAGCATAAGATAATGCACCACATTAACATTGTAAAAAATACGCTTTCTTGAATCACAGAAAAGGAAGTTATGTTGATACAAGCTTAAAGTAAAGTTTGCGAATAGATGAAGTACATCTACAATTGAAACTTTTTCGTTTACCCATTCCCTCTTTATTATGCATCTGTAAAGCTTATGCATAACTAGTATGTTCCAAAAATTAAAGTTAGTCTTGGGTAAATCCTACCATAAGAATTCCATGGTTCATTGGGGTTGCAAATAACAATTAAGCTGGTTTACTATTGGCCAGAAACTTCCTGGTGGGTTAAAGCTTAGACTTATTTGGGTCAGTAATTTTCTTTCTTGAATTATTTTCCACCCGTTTGTTAAGGACTAACTTTATCTGCTTAACGTAGGAAGCAAGCTTTGGTTGGAGTTGCTTGTTTGAGTTGATTAAAGGAATATTTGACAGACGCTGTTTTGTTTCCAAAATGCTATACTTTTCATTACCAGTAAGGACTTTGAAAATCAGTGACTCCCGCTAACTTAACATGAAAACGTCACTCCCAAGGGAATGAGCTGACAGATCGCCTGAGGGTTTTGTGTTGGAAGATGCTGCTATTTTGAAGATTGGGAAGTAAAAGGAAAATTATTCCCTAACGCGAGCTTATGGTAGCAGAAATGGCGCTACTTTAAGCGAGCTATCGAGAAGGGTGAGGCCTGCAAAATCGACTGATCACAGAACTGAAAGATCTACCTATAATCAAAGCAGTCTAGCTCTCAAACATATCTTTTGGGACGATATACCAAACTATCATGTACAAAAGAAACCAGAAACAGGCTGCACAAAGACGTAAGAGCAAATTTAAAAAAAATACTCAAGGGTAAGGCATGCAAAATCGACTAATCACAGAACTGAAATATATGACTCTTATCAGAGCAGGCTAGCTCAAACACTTTTCCTCAAAGACGATATATACCGCACCATCACGTATAAAAGAAACCAGAAACAAGCTGTAGGAAGACGTAGGATCAAATTTGAAAACAAGAATGACTCAAGGCTACAAAACATAAAAAAAAAGAAAAAAAAGAATGAAGCAAATACGTAGATTTTTGGAAGAAATAATGATCACAAATGCAAAATGTTGTTGAGTGATTTGAAAGTTTATTGAACAAATGAGCGTCAAGTACATGTTGTTGAATTATATGTCATGTTACATATCTTGGACTAACTGATTAAATGTTCCTACACCTCTCCCCCTCTGCTAGACATTATTGATGCAAGACCTAGAATTATTTTGAATAAATGTCTCGTTACGCTGTTCAAGGAGGAAAAAACGTAAGGAAGTAACCTAAAAAATATTTCAGCTATAAATCATGTATATTAATAAAAATAAGACAAATACCAGCTAACAATGGTATACAATAGAGCTTGAATATATCATATCTCACGCGATCACCTATAGATAGCGTTCGTAAATTTGTTTCTTCTCACCAACACTTTTCTAAAATTTTTTAAAAGACAGCGATTACTTATTACCACGCTGGCCGTTATATTGCGCGTGTGTGCGCTCACACTTTAAAAGCTACTCGGTCATTTATCAAGCTGGGTAACACATTTCCTAATTACTCACGCGCCTCTTAAGTGGTACCTGGAACATCTAATAAAGCCTACGATGCTTTTTTTTTTGTTTTACCATGCACCGTCTTTATGTGAAGCACTTTAGCTGAAAAATAGGTTGCACAAAAAATGAAAAGCGCTCATAAAATTTGATCCTTCTTAAAACGAAATTTCACTTACGCTTTTCATTAAAGTTTATCATGCATTGAGTCTATTTTGAGACTTCTAATCTATTCATCATGCCAGGTAATACACTGCTTAATTGCTAGTAAAATATTGATAGCGTTCATATATGTTTCTTCTGAAACAATTCTTGTACGTTACTTGAAACATCTAATAAAGCCTACGATTTTTTTTACCGTGCACTGTCTTTATGTAGAGTACTTTGGCTAAAAAAGTGGCACTAAAAGCGAAAAGTGCTCATAAAATTTGATCCTTCTTGAAACGAAATTTCACTTACGCTTTTCATGAAAGTTTACCTATGCACAGCGTCTATTTTGACACTACTTTTCTATACATCACGCCGGGTAATGCACTGCTTAATTACTAGTAAATATTTAGATAGCGTTCACAGAATGTTTCTTCCCGAACAAAATTAAACTCACGTAATTCTTATACGGTAACTGAAACGTCAAATAAAGTCTACGATTATTTATTACCACGCTGTTTTATAAGTAGAGTAACATTGCCAATAAAATGCATTTTAGCGAATATTAATTTGTTCCTTCTTAAAACGAAATTTCATTCGCGCCATCTTAAACTGTTACCTGTATATTGCGCTCACTCGAGACTACCTACTTCTTACTGATTTGCTTACAAGATGGAAATAACGGTTATAATTTTTTTTTTCTTCTGAAAACGAAGTTTTGGTCATGCGGCCTTTAGGAGGTCACTGATACATCAAGTAAAGCTTACGATTACTTCTTGTTACCAAGGTGATTGGTACGTTCCGCATTTACTGAGAATTTTTTAGCTAATACAATACGTCTCACAGAATACAAAGACGCTGACGAAATTTATTCCTTCTGAAAACGAAATTTCACTCGCGCTCTTATGATGTGCTTACTTATACATATACATTTGTGGTTTTTCTACGACTACCTTTTTGAGGAGGGTAGTATGATTCATGTTTACTAATTCATAGCAGTCTTACTAAAAATACCTGTAGCAAAGTGCATTGCGTGAACTCTAAGTCCACTTTGCAACATGCCAGGTAATGTTTCGTATATGCAAATTATTTTTATTATCGGTTATTTCTTAAGCTGCCTCTGATAGATCATTCTTAGGTCGATTTACGCTGACTCCTATTTTTTAATTGAATATTATGGTAACTATGAACTCTCTGTCAACCAAGTGTCTTAATGAACTTGAATCAAACTTCACTCGAACATACCGTTTGCCATTGTACCAGTATGTCATCGTAATTGTCATTTTTTTTTACAGTAACTGGTCATTAAACTTTCCTTCCTCAGTCAGCAATATTTGATCTAATTACAGTACCTGTAAAATTCATTCTTGTGAACTGCCGTCTGCGAAAAGAATAACAACAAATGATTACTGCAGGCGTATGCTATACTTAGTCAAACAAGAGAACCGAAGTAAAGCTATTACCCCAACACCAACAATACAAACCCTGCTATAACGCTAAGGAGGTCCAAACCCTTCAAAAAACGCTAGTTAAGAACTTACCAGGAAATGAATCCCTGAAGTGTGTGTGTAACAGCTCATTAGGCTTCTCCTCTGCTATACAGCTGCATTGTGGTCAGTGGAAATCATTCGGTTACTCCAAAACAGTCTGGTTATTATCATAAGAAGTGACGACACCTAAACGGCTTAGACTGAACTAATGTTTTTGGTTTTTTTTCTCTCTAATCGTTACATGTTTGTTTGCTGGTTTTGGTTCTAATATAAGTATGATTTTGGTTTCTTTCCTAGTTTTTGGCTGTTTGTTTGTTTGCTTTTTAATTTTATTTTACTTAAAAACCCTACGGGTACGCATATATAATCGTACCTGTATACTTCCCGGTTCAAAGTCTGTTCGCGGGTGAAAATTTGCTCAAGTTTTAAACTAGTTACACCTCATCTCAAAGAAAAAATAATGGAAGCTGAAAGAAGGCAAAGAAAAGTAATTCACTGATTTAAGGATGACTTTGTCTTAATAAACTTTACCTACTCAATAACCTATTCCTGAAATCGAGAATTTCTAGATTTCGATCAATTTTAGGGCTTGAGATATTCTGAAAATTTACCATGTAACGAATCATACTGTCCAAACTATCCCTCAAAATTTTTATCGTCACTTCTAATGGTGAATAATTTGCTCTAAAATTAACTTCGTTGGTAGAAAACTTCTTATTGAGTACTGTTTTGGAGTTGACCGAATAGCGGATGGCGGCAAATTGGACATGTGCGGCTGTGGAAAAAGAAATAATAGTTGAGGGTAAGAAATGCTGCTTGATTTTAAATCCCCCTACATCTCTGACACAGCAAAGCTAGCTGATGGGCGGGATGAATTAGCTCTCAAAGGTAAGACTCGAAAGATGCAACACTGAAAATAAAAAAAATTTTAAAAAAAACACTTTTGAGCACTTTTCCTATAAAGCGTGGTCAAGCCCTGCCCAGTCGCGATTAAATTTGAATAAAATTAAACAGTATTTTCCTTTACGATACTGATTCGAAAATTGCTGTCTTTTAGTAATATCACTTGACTTGGGCTAAAGATTTGCAATCAGTGAAGTCGATAAATAATTTAAAGAAAACTTTTTATGCCAAAAGGATTACGAAAGGATGGAAGCTTTTACCTAAGATCAGTAGGAAAAATTTAGTCAAGGAATGTTCACAAGCACGAAACTCGCCAATTGTGGCAAAACAAGTCACCAGAGAAAACTAGAGTGTTATTTTTTAGATGTGTGTGAGGTTTCAAGAAATACATACACGCCATTTTGTATCATCGCAATGGCACAGTCCTTATGAACCTTGTGAGAGCAGGGCAGAATTTGACAACCACTGAAGGCGTCCTGTGACAAGAGCAAAGAAAAATGTATCAATATAGGTTTTACTAGGACGAAGTGAAAGGATAGAGGGTAGATCAAAATGTCACTGCTTTAAGAGCTATTCCTTAAATTTTGAAATTTGTGAAATGGATGAGATAGTAAGCTATCTCCAGTTCTCCCGGCTCGTTCATGTTTCCTTAACGCTACGCTAACAAGGTATAGGTTATCTGTGGCTAAATGTAACTTTTATGAATAATTGTTCAGGCCATGATCGAGTTTTTGAAAAATTGGTATATGTTTTGGGGCATATATGACGTATTAAAAATTAAATATAATGGTAAATATTGGAATTACACATTAAGTTAAGTTAAACTTAATTGGAAATTAATTGCTTCAAGAAGCATAAGAAAAGTACAAGAAAAGGTCATTCCTACAACCACATGACTTTTTTGATTACGAATATACTAGTTAATATTCCTGACACTTAGGGCAGTAATTCATCCATCGAGCAAAACTACCTCACCTCGAGACATATACAGCATTCATCATGTCCCGAATCAGGTCTGCACTTATGTTTTCCTTCAAGACGTTTGTCCAGGCATACGTTACAAACATCACAGTGGAAGGACCTGTCTCTATGGATTCTATCAAAACACTCAAAGTTAGCAATAGGGAGTCGAATTTGTTACTTCGTATTAAACGGCCTAAACTGGTCAAAATGACATAAACTCATGCAGATTTCAGTAGAATGTTCGAGGTGTTGCTTCCCAACCCCTCCAATTAAATGCCACTTTGTAGCCAAGTATCAGTATGCTTCTAAATATTACACAATTGGTTGAGGTGATACTCCAATTGTCTCAAGTCGGAGATAGGACCATATCTTGTAGATCCTCCAAATCTCCGATTTTTCCTCATTTTTAGGTCCGTTAGTCATGCAAAAATGGCTTAATCATCTTACCTACAGATACCACATTTTTCGCAGTGGAAGGGATTTTTATCCACGGAGGTATAATGGCGACATGTTGGGCAGAAATACTCAGACATGATTGCGTTGCAGCCGCCACATCTCTGGCCATTTTCGTCGATCTGAAATAAAGAGAAAAAGAAACAAGGATGTAATAGCGTCTTTTTTTCGTGCGAGACTTTAGGGTCTATCAGCTGTTTTTTTTTGAGATTAGCCTGTATCAGGGTAAGGTGTTATTACTCTAGATACCTTATCTTAACATGAAAGCAAAGGCAGAGGATCATAAACAAAAATCTCACCTCTTGTTCGTGATAGCAGATAGTGCATCGTATGTGTGTGGCATTAACTGCTCTTGCCTGATCCTCACTACAATCTGATTCGTTGTGGCAGCGGTGGCAAGGGAAGAACTTTCCACAGCAGGGAAACCGGACCAAGCATCGCCGTTGATAATGACTGCAAACAGGGCGTGGACTCTCTTGTACAGGTATTGCCATGGGTTGCTGCTCAGCTTCTACAGTCGTTTCATTTGATGGGGTAGATTCTCCTTGAGTGTTCGTCTCATGAATTTGTTGTGTTACGACTGCTTCTGCCTCTCCCATATCGCCTGTTTCTTCCTGAATGCCTGTCTTTTCGACTGTCTGGTTTGTAGGATCATTTTCCCTCGCGCCCGTAGCATTTAAGGCAACAAGCCGGATAGTTTTGGCCATTATCTTTTGAAGGTATCGAAAATTAGCGGTCAATGAATTTTCTGTCCATGAATGCTCGTTCTCGCTCATTGGTAGTGACTGTCCACATTCATCATTACCCACACTGATGGAGTAGTCATTTGCCATTGAAGCCATGTCGTTGTAAGCACATGCCGATCCACACTTACTGAAGAGTTTCTCCCGATTAGCTTCAAAAGATTTTGGCAGCGATGTTGGATTTGACTCGTTTGTCCTCTCAGCAAAGCATTGACTTCGCAGCACCGTATCTTTACAGGACTCTGATGGAAAATGCCAGCTTTCTTTTTCCTTTCCGTTTGGTGGCGCTAAAGGCGCTAAGGCGTTATTCATAGGAATAACCTTATCATATCTATTGGCTTTATCGCGTGGAATGAACTCTTCCTTATCATGTGACTTTTGATCTTTGCTATTGAAGACTTGGTCTTGAGCATTGAATGAAAAGTACTCCTGTTCGTAGTCTTCTTGCCACAGACAGTCTGATGAAGCATGATTATAGTTGCCACCGTTTTGAAACGGAAGCAGTAGGCTACTCTCTTTGACGTGACGTGCCAGAAAAACAGGATCTAGGCCAGGTATTAATCTTTCGAGGTCAGAGTTAGCTGACATTGGATTTTTAATGCTGGGCCAAGGTAAGGGGGTTTTAGCGTTGACTGTTAATCTTTGTTTGGGTCTTGCTCCTCCATCGCCCGAGTAAGATTGAAAGAAGTTACTCTTAGGTTCAAGAGGATATCTTGATTCGCAAAGCGGATGTCTATCTGTATGAGACTCGTTTTCACTACCTAAAGTTACACTTTCGTGCTTTACGCTGGTTCTGAACTTCTCGTCGGCGTGAAAGTCCTTGTGAAGATTTTGTGTGAGTGCTGGTCCATCTACAGTATCAACATTATTGATAAGTTCTTCACGACTTCCGCCGTCAGCAACAACATCGCCCCCATGACACATCGATCCGGAGGTGGTTTCATGGCGGTTTGAAAAGGTGGCTTGTGACCTAAAATGTATCTGTCCGTGAGGATCCATTAGCTTTACTGCTCCTACGCTTTGCTTCAAAGATCGCGTTTCATTTTCTTCTTTTAGGTTGGGCCCGTCTACAGCATCCGTCTTTCTTAGAAGATCTACCACGTTATTTTGACTTCTACCGGTATCCTTGTTCTTGGTTCCATCAGGTAAAACGTCTTCATATAGTGGCTCGAATGTTCTTTCTGCTGTCATCTCGTCATAATCGGGACAAGAAGTGCCATCCTTTTCTGGTGTATTGGATTCGTTTGCTATGATTTCCACTCCACTTCGTTCCCTGTCTTCCATAAGGCGTTCTTCTCTAATTTCCAATTTATTCACACCAGGCTTCGTTTGTCTTTGATCAACTGCTATAGCATCTTGTACCTCGTCGTTAGGCATGCCTACCATGGCATGAATATCTTTGTAACAGTTTTTTTCGAGTACTGATCCATCAACAACAACAGCGTTTTTGTTAAGGTCCTCGTGGCTTTCGCCGTCAGCAACAACATCACCCCCTTGACACAAGGACCTGGTGGTACTTTCATTGTGGTTTGAGATGGTGGCTCTTGACTTGGAATGTATCTGTCCGTAAGGATAGGTTGGTTCTCTTTTTTTCACAGAATGCATTCCATTTTCCACTTTTAGGTTTGACCCATCCACAGCATCCGTCTCTCTTAAAAGATCCACCACGTTCTTTTGGCTTCCACTAGTAATTTTGTTCATGGATCCATCTAGTAAAACGTCTTCAAGAAGTGGCTTGAATATTCTCGCTGAGGTCATCTCGTCATTATCGGGACGCTTTTCTGGCGTATTGGATTTATTTCCCATGATTTCGATCCCACTTCGTTCCCTGTCTTCCACAAGGTGTTGTTCTCTAATTTCCAATTTATTTACACCAGGCTTCGTTTGTCTTTGATCAACTCCTATAGCATCTTGTACCTCGTGGTTAGGTATGACAACAGAGGCATGAATGTCCTTGTGATAATTTTGTACGAGTACTGATCCATCAACAGCAACAGCGTTTTTGTTGAGGTCCTCGTGGCTTTCGCTGTCAGCAACAACATTATCCCCTTGACACAAGTATCTGGTGGTACTTTCATTGCGGATTGAAATGGTGGCTTTTGACTTGGAATGTATCTGTCCGTAAGGATAGGTTGGTTCTCTTTTTTTCACAGAATGCATTTCATTTTCCTCTTTTAGGTTTAGCCCATCCACAGCATCCGTCTCTTTCAAAAGATCCACCACGTTCTTTTGACTTCCACTGGTATCTTTGTTCATGGATGCATCTGGTAAAACGTCTCCAGCAAGTGGGCAAAATGTTTTCCCTGTCGCCTTGTCGTCATAATCGGAACAAGGAGTTTCTTGCTTTTCCGGTGTATTGCCCTTATTTCTTCTGATTTCCACCTCATTTCGTTCACTTTCTTCCTCAGGGAGCTGTTTTCTACTTTTAAATTTATTTCCGCTGGGCTTCGTGTGTCTTTGCCCTTCTTGATCAACTCCTATAGTGCCTTGTACCTCTTGGTTAGGTGAGGTCTCCCTGTTGGTTTTGATAGCTTTTTGCTGACCTGCGTGAATATCATTTCTCGCTGTCTCTACGTTCGTAACGTACGTCTCTCTTTCCAAAAGGCAAGAGTTGTCGTTTTCATTAGAAGCTGTGAAGCAGTATTCTTTTTCCAGCGTTGTTTTAGGCAAGCAGCCTCTTACTTCCTCTGAAAGTCTACATTTTGGCTGCATTTCTAAATCGTTAGGATCTTTTACGTTGTATAGGGCTGGACCTTGTGGAAGTTGATGTATTTTCATCAGTTTGTCTTCTTCCTTTGCTGTCTTGCCGTCATGTGAACTAATTCTTTGGCTATTTTCATTCCTGACACTCCTGGAAATGGGGTTTCCGCTTGGTGTCTGGGCCTCTAAGTTTTGATGCAGAACCTCCAAATTACCACAACTGCTACCATTTTGGCTTGACTGCAATTTTGAAACATTAGTTGCTTCTGCTCTGTTTGATTGAATTGAATCGTCTTTTTCGGAGTTTAGTTGCTTTTTCTTCAGGCTTTCTTGTAGGTCAGCCATAAAAGAGCGTCTTGACTGTCTATCTTCTTCAAATAGACGTTTCCCCTCCAACATCTCACAAAGATCTGCTCTGAGCATGGATTCTTCCTCATGGTTGCTCGTGCTTACCTCAACAGTGGTACAATCATGAGCGTTCAATGTAAGACCCTCGTTATTTTCACTTCTTTCTGAACTCTCTGTCAGATGCTGAAGTGAAGTGTTTTCCTGGTCTTCCCGATTTTGAGAGGAAGCAGTTAGACATCTTGTGTCATCGTCACCCAGATCCACAAAACTTACATCGTGCCTCTTGGAAAGGTATTCCTGGTCGTCTAGACTTCCATGAGCATTATGACATTGACTAGAATCCGCCAAACAGATGTCATCGTCAGTCAATGGACTCTCCACGCTGTAGAGCAGTTGTGATATCTGGCTGACAGCCCTGAGACAATCTAGAACTTTCTCTCTTGTTTGTTGTTGCCTGTATTCCAATTCAGATGTATCAACCTGAAAATAAATTTTATTTGCATGGTAAATACTAAATTTGTTTGTGCAGAACACATCACTGTTAGGAGGTAAATATGAAAAAATATGAATGTGATTTAAATCAACTTTTTAACGCTTGTATTCCTGTTGATCATCAACAACGGCCTTGTTTAATCATTAGATGATGTAAGCATTGCAGTTTTTGTCTCTTCGGTGTTCATTAGAGTGGGTATGACGAGTATAGGTATGACACTTCCATAATTCTATTATTCAAGCCGGCTCAATTTGGAATACGTTTGAGACAATGATAAGGCTTAAGTTTGCTCTTCTTCTATGTGACTTCTTGTTTAAGAATATTCAAACATTCCATACCGAATACTTTACGATGGAAATAGCAGCTGAAGTATAAATCATATTTTGACCTGTTGTTGATTACAAGCCGTGCGATGTAACGCCAATAAAGAATTTGAACTAAAATGAGCGAAGCCTGAAAAACTGAGTCATAAAGGCTCCGACGGGAATCGAACCCGTGCCTCCCGGTCGGACGCTTCTACCAACTAAGCTACAGAGCCATACTTCACAATTTTTCTCGGCTTCTATTTTCTCAAATTTTCTTCAACTTGTAAATTCTAATTTGAAAATTAAAATTTTTTAGATACAGCTTTATACAAAGGACGGAAATATGATTAATTTCAGGCTGCGATTTCTGCAATAATTTTTGTTGCATTGCCTTCCAAGTGCCTTAACTACTTACCACCTGAACAATTTCATTGGTGATTTTGAGGATTCCTTTTAGTAATAATGAGTTTCTATTTGAGGACGTCATTTTTGGAGAAGTGCTTTTAACATGCATATTGTTAAAAGACAAAATCGGCATCTAGCAAGAATTTTCTTCATATGTGTTTGTAACTTATTTCAGTGTTGGAAATATGAATGGAAATAGCATATTAGCATAAGCTATTCAGTTAAAAAATATTGTACACAGTTGATGATTTCCTATTTCGATGGCGGTCTTACTTTGTAAGTAGAATCATTATCTTTTCTTTCTAGGCGAAAATACTCCATTTAACTCCAAAAAAGTTTGTATTAAGTTGTTAGCGATTATAGCATATTCTCCTATCGCGAATTTGACATGAAAGTAGGTGTTCAATTTCTACGGTATATGGAACTTGCCGCGAAATATGTCAATTATCTTGCGGTAAGATATATTTCAATTATGATAATCCGCTTGATGAATAAGAGAGTAATTTGAACGGGTAGAAGTTAATCTCGCACAGGAATTTCCTGGAAACTCCTCCTTCTTATACTTTCGGTTCTTTTCAGGCTCGTTTTTAGATTAATATCATGTCAAACTCCCGATCAAGAAAGTAATGCTTAATTTTTAATTTCGCATGTTTAACACCTCTTTCTGAAAGGTGACTTAGGGTGTAAACAACCTGTACTTTTCATCATCGGCACAGAATTTATAATCAGTTCATTTATATAGACGGCAGGTTGTTCTTTTGGGGGCGGTACCTTGGGTACGCCCTTTCTTCCTCGAATTCTCCATTTATTCTGTTGTTCTGTAACAAACTTCAAGGGTTATTTCCTATCTAGTTAACTTTTTCAGTGTACTTCTAATCTATGCAATGGGTCGTTTATAATTTTTATATTATCGATCTTGTTTATGTTTTGGTCGATCTTAACCGCATAAGTATGAAATTCCAGGTAGAAAGTCGTTTTGGAAAGAGTCAACAAACCGAAGGTAAACACTTAGTATACAGGGACTATTTCACGTAATTCAACATGATTCGCTAGTGAGGTGAGAAATAGTGACGTCGATCACTTTTTTACAGAGAGTAGAGTTGGTCCCCTTTCTAGCACGTTAAATTGAGTTTTTAGGAAAAAAATTAAGGAAAGTATTGAAGGAACGTGGGAAACCATTATTCTTGTTGTCATCATCCTCAAATGCCAAGAAAAGTATTCTTTAGGCATGACTGATATCAAATATCAATTAACTAATATTAAAAAGGGAGAAGATTGAATAGGTTTTACACCTAACCCAACGGAAACCACATCTCTTTACGCTTCTTTGTATCGGAACTTTTCAAGATTCCAACAGGCGTAGTTACAAAATTCGTCGGAGAAATTAGTATTTTTTAGTGCATGACTGATATCAAATTTTCGATCAATTAACTAATCATTGCGATGTGTTTCGCAAAACATTGAAAATGCAAGTTTTACACCTAACCCAACCGAAACCACATGCTCTTTATCGCTTCTTTGTTGTTCGGAACTTTTCAAGATTCCAACAGGCGTAGTTACAAAAGTAAGAAGGCGTCGGAACACTTCGAAATATCAGTTGCTTTAAATGCAATCTAATCACTTTGGCAGTTCGTGCAAAGCCTTCTTCAGTTACCATCACTTTCGTCAAACACTATGTAAGTTTTAGATAAGGCTCCCTCTGGTCGCACAACAGGAAATGAATTAAGTATCACTTTCAATTAGTATCAAGTATCAAGTATCAATTTCACGAACGCAGCCCCTCATAGTATTAGCTGATGCTGTTTGAGTAAACTTCAGCAATCTTTGGTCTCACAAAAGCAGTAATTTTGCGTTGATAAGTCTTCTTATAGGCTTATAATTCTCAGACAGGTTCGGTTTGTCCTTCTTTCCAGAATGGCAAACACAAAATTATAGGGAATGCGCTACAGGGAGAGCCTTTCAAGAAGGTGTAAATCAATTTCAACGCAGCAAGGACAGCCCTGGAAAGTAGTTATAAACTTTCAAAGTAATCGAAAGCATGGATGAAGGCGTTAAGAGAAAGTAGGCTGCGTTTACCACAGAGCGAGTAACTGAAGCGTTAGAGGAGATAACATTCCGCAAAGAGAAGTCCTGGTGCCCGCCAAATAATGAATTTCTTGACTGGGGTCGATTACACAGTCTTACGCTCCTCTTGTAAAAAAACATCAGAGAAAAACTTCGCCAGCCAGTGCCAGAGTTATGGGATGGAAATGTACTGAGCCTGTCGGAGGATCTAAGTCGACTTACCGTGTTCGTAAAAGACAAGACCAACAAGGAGAAATTGGTAGGTTACTGTATGGAATTTGGAACAGAGAAAACTGTTGAACTTCGATTTATCCTTCTGTCACGAGTTCAGAAAATCAGTGTGCAGAACAGTGGAATAAATGGGGAAGTTCCTGGGATATTTCGACGGCATTGCTGCTGTACGAAGTGCCACAATAGTTGCAAAGGTTGTGAGAACGAAGGGAAGCATTAATGCCGTGGTAGTGTGTGTTCTCTTCAGTGGCTCGCCTCTGGCGTTTAAGGAAGAGAGATAACCATTTAATTCTTTCCTTTAACGACAGTATCTGCCTCTTCGTTGTCTCGTATCATATCTGCTTCCCTGAGATTCACCAGCCTTAGAGTATTTTCCAATTCACTGAGATTAACTGGTGCCGCGACACTGTTCGGCAGTCTACTTAAATTACTTTTGCAATAATCCAATCGACCAACTTGGCTCTAAAATATGTTTGGGAACTATGATTATCTCTCATACAATGATAATTCGTCGTGAATTTCACTACAGAGTCCTATCTGACTTCTTAATTCGATTGTATCGCATCTCCTTAGCGACCCTTAAACAAGCGCAAAATCCGGGCTTTTCCAGTTTACTAGAGTTTGAAGTTTTTCTAGCTTAAAATCCTTGAATTGCCATTGCCGTTTGAACCAGTTATCCGCAAATCGTTGGCGAAATGATGGTAAAAAAGTCTGTTTTTTGAATGATAGAGTCACTTAAAGTTCCTGTTTAATGCCATTTCATATTTCTTAACTCTCCAGGCCCATTTTCTCTACAAACTCGACAATCACGATCAAGAACCACTCCCTACTCAAATACACACAGTTACCGACATACATTCTCAGTGTAGCCGAAACCGGCAAAAGAATGAGACGTTTAAAGGAGGATAAAGGAGGAACATCGACCAACAACCGAGGCAACCCTAAACATATTGGGAATCATCAAACCGTAAGGAGAATGTGGAGTAACAATTATTCTCCTTTTACTGCAAGGAAATTAAAACGCAATATTGTTCTACTGTCAACGTTGAAAGTTGCAATCTTGCAAAAAATAAAGAGAAAATCAACATCACTGAAGAGATGAAAGGAGATTGTTCTGAAATAGCCGCATGTAAGTCCAACACTGACAGACCTTGACCTTGAAAGACTACACGGGCGGTTGTTTACACAGGTTGTCACAAAGTCACATAAAGCAAGCCTAAAACAATAATATCTCGACGTAAAGTAAATTTACTCACAGTTTCTCCTTTGTAGACTTGAGACGACCTCTTAGTCCATTTCCACTCATGATTCGAGGTGTCACTGGTTTCACAGAGTGTGACTGACTGATCCAAAGAAGCCTCCGATGAAGTTCTTTCTCGGCAGGGCACTCCATACTTCTCTACCGTCTGACGAATTTCTGTCCAAGAGAGTGTATCAGAAACGCCAGCCTGAAGTGCACTGTTCGAGTCTGCCAAGTCGGTTTTTGTTGTTCTTGTTGTTACGAACTGGATCTCTTGTGTGACTAATTTTCCACTGCGTGACATAATAAACCTTGCCTTTTTCGGATGGAGAACTGTCACGGAAAAGCTGTGAGTTGGTAGCGATATCGATGAGATTCTTCCTGGATCACTCTGCTGAAGAAGTTGTAGAGCAAATTTTTGGAACATGAAGCAGCTTGTTTGCTCATCTTCGAAGGTCACTCCTGTAATCTTCTGGCACATCGAAGTGTCTATCTCAAAGATAGTCTCTTTATCCGTTACACCATTGTTTGGATGTTCTGATAAACAGAGAGGTAACAGTTCGATTCGACTACCCATAGACAACATGTCTTGGAGGCCACATTTTGTCGTTGGAGTCAAATCCACCATAACCTTAGCCGCGACGCCTTTGGCTTCAGCTTCCATGCACTTCATTTGAAAACACTCTTGAACTGCACGTGAGATTTTTCCTTTCACAGTATCGAGGTCTTCGATATCTAGAAGGAAAGGTGTTCTGCAAGCAACCAAGAAAGCATTTTCGGTTGTATTCTCCTTGTAAGCCAAACTTTGAAATAACGGCGTGTCAATAGAAGCGTTTTCCGCGTCACTCTCTTTCGGGCCAATTTGAGAGGAAATAAGGATGTCTTGAACAGCAGTCTCTCCATTACAGGTGATTATGGATTTTGAGGCATACACTTGAATTCCATCAAGAAGAAAATATGGAAAACTGCCCTCGTTTTGAAAAAGTTTAGAATATAAATCGTACGCTACAAAAGTCGTTTCAAACATTTTCAGTTCTATAGAGAACAAAAGAAGTAAAATCAACACAGGCCTCAGGTTTCGCTGATAGTCAAACTCTATCGTTGTCGCAACTCCATCAATTCTTTCGACGATACTCTGAGCACCGCTTGCTTCTATGACGCTGCTTAGGTCTTCCAAAAAGTTTCTAAAACGATGGTCATGCTTTAGTGTCCCTTGACATCTAAATTTTTCCTTCAGGAATATGCTGTGTAGGCGGGCAACACCCAAGTAACCTTTGAATACACGTACGCCGCAATGCAACTCTGCGTATTGGAAAAAAAAGGCAGCTTCCTTTATCATTCCAAGACGGAAAAGCTTTAGCCCAGTATTAATGAAATCGGATGAGTATTTGAAAGAGACCATCGACATCGACTCGGAATACTGATCACCCATTTTCTTCACAGTGACAGGTTTTCGATCAGCTCTGAATTTTCTTAATTGACCATTGCTGAAGTGGTTTAACAAAAAGGCCATTCCTTGCCCGTACTCTGCGACAAGACCTTCAATTCTATCATCAAACACACTGTGTCTTTGAAAGGTTTTGAAACCTTGGGTGATTTCTGTGTACTTCACTGACAACTCATTCACAAATGACACTTGGTAGATGGCCTCTATGTTCTCAGTGGCTCTTTGAAAGTAAAGGTAGGACTCTTCTTCTTGATTCATTCTCGATGTCATATCACCAAGAGACATGTAGCACTTCAGGAGGAGAAAATTCTTAAAGCCAAATATTTTTCCCAAGATTTCAACAGAACTTTTGAACTTTTCCGTGGCGCTGGAAAAATCCCCCGCGAGACTCAAAATCGTACCTTGTTTGTACAACAAGGAAGCAATATTAAAATGGTCGGGTCCAAAAACAGTTTTCAGGATTTTCACAGTCGTTTGCAAGAGCCCAAGGGCAGCTTTGACTTTTCCTCTACGGATGTAGAGCTCTAGTAACTTCTCAAGTGCCTCGATTCTTACATTCATGTAAAGGTTTCCAAACCTGTTCACAATGTCATCGAGTGAATTCAAGTTCTCAATACTGAATACTTCATCAGCCTCTTTGAATTTTCCGTGAAGGAGCAGTACTTCAGACAGATGCAAGCGAATGAAGGTGACAAGATACACAGAATCCTCTCTATTCATTTCTTTGCAATAAGATATCAACCACCACAACGCTTGTTCTGCTTGGTTAAAATTGCCCAGAATAGTATGCAACACTGCTTGATTATTCATTACTGTGAATACTGCTTCAAATGGATATGGTATATTCTTCATTTCTGTAGCTTTGCAACTCTCTACTAATTTCTCCTGTTGCTCAAAGGCTTGACGATACTTTCTGAAAACCAGATTTAGTCGGCTCATGTTGCTCTTTACGGCGAAAACTTTTGTACCATTTAAAGACCCGTTCGAGTTACCAAGGCTCCTGAGAGAAGTTTCAAACGCTTTATGTGCATCGAGCAAATCGCCCATGATCAGGTGAACACACCCCTTATTGTTGTAGGCAGCAGCAAGGTCATGTGAACGACTAGTTGTATTTGATTGATGATGCAGATCGATCAGCCGGCCATAAGTTCCTCTAGCAATTTCAAATTCGGAAATCAACAATGCAAATGCTCCCATGACGTTTAGTAATCCAGAGTAAAACTGCGCTCCACTCGTACTTGAGTCCAAAAGTAAAGTCCCGTGTTTTATCGAGCAACTCACACCCTTCTCAAGAAAGAGTTGTCTTCCTCGATGTAAGACCTCTAAGCCATATTTTGACGGAAAGTCAAAACATTGCGCCTTATTCATTAACAATAATCGGGAAAGATTTGTTAAACTTCTCCGGGCACTAACAATGTTGTCACCTTGGTGGTACAAGATGGCTTCGTTGAGTACCCGAACAACATTTTCCGAGACTTGCGAAGGAACCCTTATGAGGGTTAATCGCTGGACTGTATCTGATGTAGCGCAGGCCAAATGTGGTTGGATTTTCTGATTTCTATGTATAGCTTTGGTTTTTATCTCTGCCTGTCGTTTCTTTTTCCCACCGTTCGTCTCAGCCTCCACTACGAAGAGATTTTCGAAAAGAAATAAAAATATTATTATGTTTCTAATATATAGATTTAGCCAAGCTTAAAAGCGGAGCTCGCATTTTTTTCCCGCACATCTCGTCAACAAAACTAAAGCCCCTACTATGGATAACTTACGTATATTAATGGATTTTCATTCGCTACTTCTCCGTGTCTGTGTAGAGAACTGGTTCTATTATAGATGCTACAGGGTTAAATGTTTAGGTCAATAGGCAATTTTTGGGGGTCTTCATGAAAAAGCTTGCAGCGAGTGGTTGAAAATTTTCAAAAACAGGAAAGAAAATTGTGCAAACCGTTAAAAAGTTTTCCCAACAATATGCAACAAGAAAATGTAAATTAATCTCGAACCCAGGGTCTCCTCAGCTATTTACAAGTGTTGCGCACACGTTACGCTCAAATGTCCGTTGAACAAGAGTAAAGCTATGGTGCTGACGTACCCGCGGTACCAGGGCGTGAAATTAATTTTTTTTTTCTGAAAGCCACTTGGCTCCTAAATTTTTCAAAGTGGTAACCAATTCAAAAAAAGTTCGTCGCCATTTTTAAAGACAGACAAAACCCCTTTTTTTACGCTGTCAGCGTTCTAGATAGACGTTCCAAAATTAAGTTAGGAAAATTATCTTTAACGTGCTACAAAGTGGACACTAGAATGGATGATATACAACTTTCAAGCTCACCTTAACCAAAGATTGCGTCTAGTTATCGATCGAGATGCATGTGCTTCGATTTGGACATAAACTTAACGAGGAAGTTTGCCGCGGATTTATCTTTGCAATTCCTTTCAATTCACTATATCACTAGGTAAGGTTATCATGACGCATTCTAGTCGCCAATTGGGCGACTTATTTTTGTAGGATTTGGTCGCCTAAGTGAAAGATTTAGTCGCATTGGCGCCTGTATTTGGCGCAGTTTCACGCCCTGAGTACCGTTGGCCGCGCATGCTAAAAGTAGCACCTTGTACGTGCGGTTGTACGGTCGAAAGTCCTAATTTTTTTGGCTTGATGGGTTGCTACTATTTCGTATAATTATGTGGCTACGCTGCGCGCGCTACGAGCTCCGATGGCGTGGACGTGCCCGCGGTACAGTTGGCCGCGCATACTAAAAGTAGCACCTTGTACGTACGGACGTACGGACGTACGGTCGTAAGTCCAAATTTTTTTGGTTTGATGGGTTACCACTATTTTGCATAATTGCAAGCTCCGCTGTAAAGCGTCAGATAAGATTTCTTGAATGTGCGCAAGTGAGAAAGCTGGCGTTTTGCAATGGAATCAAGTACACTAGACTCTCTTCTTTTTCGCCTCTCCACATCTTTTTTGGGCGAAACCACTATTTCCTACAAGTTTGAATGTAAAATATTTACGGAAAGTTTAGTGGTTGAATCTTTTATCTGAACATTTATCTTTGCGAACAGTGTCAAAAGAGCCGAAAACTAATAGAGGGAGGAGATTTTTTAAATCAAATCAACGCTATTAAAGAGAATCTCCGAGACTCACTGCTTGCGTCAAAACCGCGGTTTGGGTTAGAACTCGTGTAATTAAGCGGCCTTTTATATCTTCCTATTTGATTATTTTGTATATGATAAATTTCGTGATATTTCAAAGTCTCAACAAAGTGCCACATCATACGCGGGTTCTTCTTGCTTGGTGATATTACAAAAAGCCATATATAAAAATTAATTTCCACAAAACGTTTAGTCAATATGTGTAGCTTGTAAACTTTAAAACACAATTGATTTCCGGCGTTGAGTTAAATTCGTCTCGAAAAAACAAAGCGAAACCTCCTCACTCCACCCGCTGTACGACCGTATGGTAAGTTTATTACTCACTTTTAGATTTACCTCTTCTTGAGGGCAAGGATCTCATAGCTTGACTACGAAGATCTGTAAGCCGGCTGACAATGGTAGTCATGGGGCTTGTTTTGCCAAACTTCTTGTCCATCATCGGACCGCTTTGTAATTCAATGGGTGCAGTCATCTGTGAAAGAAAGGAAGTATTTAATTCGTCAAAAGTAGCGAGTGTTACGCCGGTTTAAACGGCTTTAAACACTTCTGCTTTACTAAATAGGATTTATTCAGGTTCGGGCAAAACATTGGCGGAATTTTCGTCTAAGCTTATCCTCTATTATGAATGCAGTTCTTGGCTAACAGAAAACAACGACGAAAAAATTAAGATGCTTTTGGGAATATGCGGCTTTATTTCAAAATACTGTAGGTGATATGGAAACCTTTCCGCAACAGAAATAGAAACAAGAAATGAATATGGAAGCGACCTTCGCAGTTAGGAACACCACTTAGGGGGCGGTCCGCGTAGGAACCGACCACTCGAATTTCAGCGGATCACAGAATTCCTTGAAATTTTTACTGTGAGATGATTAGTCAATTTTATTGGCAAAAATTGTATTTATTTGGCTCGTGGTGCTATTTTGCCGAAATTTAGCGACGATATGCAAGGACGGTCCATGACATAGAAAATTGTTTATTTTAGAGTCAATTTTAAGCTTTTCGCTAAAAGCTCTATAATTTGACGCATTTGATCAAATGACAAAATACTGACATATTGTATAATTTTACGTTTCTTCTATCGATTGATGGCAAAATATCTAAAATCTGACTCAATGATTGAGAATTACGCTGTTTCAAAAATACCACACAGACAGCCCATTTCAAATTTGAGCTAGCGTGCTGTTGTTCCAAGAAGCTTTTCTCAAAAGTATAATGGGATCTGGAGTCCTGTCAACTATCCGTGTGTAGCACTAAGGCTGGTGTTTTAGAAACAAGAAAAACATTTTTAGGGAATAGTCTTTTCGAGCAGCAGGGGCTCGATAAACTTTGCTAACATTCCATGGTCAAAGTGCGCATCCATAAATTCATCAAAACGTGCCTCAAAATTAAAAATTAGGGAGGTATAAAGGAACGTCTTCTGCGTAACATTATGCTAAATTGCCTTGGCGGACATGTAAAAAACATGTTGACAAAATTCCATCCAGTTACTCTTGACCAGTCTTATGCTGTAAAAAAAACTGAAAAGCTCTGGTTATTTATAATATGTATTATTTATAACAAATCATGACGAAGACAACTTCGAGTTTATCGAGCTTGAAGATGTTGATTTCAGTCATGTCACGTGGCAATACTTTTGACATTTAGAATGTCACGGACCCATTTTCAACAACATCGAACACATGAACACTGCGTCATTACAGTTATCGAAAGAAATGGTTGACTTCTAAAGTGATACTATTCCATCTTTGTGGTAACTTATACTAAAATTTACCTTATTATGTAATGAAAACTGTAACTTTGTTAAAGACATAGTTACCAAAGATGTCGATTACCGGCAAGCACCTTGTAATGCCATTTTTTTCAGTGGTACAACAAAGTAGTAAACAAAAAATGGTATATATGAACAGTACAAATTAAGTGGCTGCTTAGAGTCTTGTAAATTAAGATTTCCCTTTTCGTTTTGACTATTACCTTCAAGCGGTTTAATTTTTGGATATGTCCACTTGTATTATTAAATTTAAAGGGGCCCCTTAGACGTGATTATATTCGGTCATTATGAGTAAACAATTCGGAGAGATTCGTTTACATCGCGTGATTTTCAATAGGACTTTAAAATATACACTCATTTGAGTCGGCGGGAGAGGTTGTTGTTACGCTTGTGTGTCCATTGTTGTGTTGTAGGCTTCAAATACGTTGGTAACCAAAAGTGTCAAAACAGAGACCTCATCTGATCTTGGAGTCCAACCAGATGTAGTTGGAGCTACATCTGGAAAGGGAGTCGAAGGGGCCACGCGGCTTGTAGTTTCGATACCAGTCTCTTTAGTCCAGTCTTTTTTTTTTCTAGCAGGTCTGTAAAAAATCAAGTAAACAATTCAACGAACAAAGAAACAGATCGTTTCTAAAACACACCTTTGAGGTCACACATGTTGTCTATGTTCCTCAGGGTACACCCAATCCTTTTTTCGGGAAATGCCCTTGCTGTGTATCTTTCTGCAGTCTGTGCAGATTGCTAGTAATTCACACATAAACGATTTCTGTCAAATCGACAATGGATTTGTAATTTTTATACAGGAAAAATCAACACTAGGAATATTAAAACTAGGATCGGACACTGGGATCGGAACAAAATTAAGGCTGGGAGAGTAAGATCCACACCCAGTCATATCCATCTGCTTTTTCCCCCTACCCCAACCACACCCTCTTTTCGGGGGACCTCTAAATAACAACCCAGTTTCTCCTCTTGAAAGACTTCAGCAACAATAAAAACCTCTGTTTCTTTTCTTGCTCTACACTTAACTTCTAATATAAGCCAAAGTAAGTTGTGTTCTTGACTCACTTGCTTGTAAAATGTCATGACGAATACAAAGTGATGAGATCGACAACAGTACGTGATAAAAGTGAAATCCATTGAAATCTACGCTTTGTCCGCAACGGCTAAAACCAAGCCTTACAAGGAGCGTTTCTCTTCTCCGATTTCCAGATTAGTAAAAACGGCTTGAAAATAGTTTAATTTTTACTTACGCGAACCAACAGGCACGGTGTCTCCCATGATATTATTTATTTCTGTAGGTGTCTTGAAATTAACAACATGTGTTCCAAAAATCGCCAATTTTTTCCCGTCGTGTCTTGGATATTAGGGACCTTACGATCCGACAACGGCGACGGCGACGTGGGACTTTTTTACTTCCGGTTACGTACTGCGCATGAGTATATTTCTGAGACGGCGATGTCCCTTCACGCGCGGACGTCTAGAAGCCTTGTTTGACGTTTTTCGAAAACGTGGAAATTAAAACCCAACTATGGCAAATGAATCAAGGTAAAAACGAGACTTTGCGACTAAATTTAAAGAATACTAGTTTGTTTGAAATATCCGAAACGAACAGAGCGTGGAGTCTTTTGTATACGACCACAAACTGAATGGAGAGAGATTTGACTTATTTTGCTTTGTATTTGTTTGTGATTGTACTTCACTTGCTATCACTGAGCTTTCTTATCACTTACCTTCCAACTTTTTTCTCGATCAAAAAAAGAGAACAAGCAGCGGTACTAGATTCGACCGATGCAAAGTGTATAAATACTTTCATTGAGCTAATTTTCATTTATAATCGTAGATTAACCTTATTTTACATGGAACTCACTAGCTCAGCGTTAATCAAACGGGAAGCATGAGCCAGGAGAATAGTGTCACGGAACTTTGGCATGGCTTTCTAAAAAACTTTCGTTGACTTAAACACGATAAACATCAATGACCGTCGTCAACGTTCTCGCTCGTAAAATTCGTAATCTCAATTTTGGCGGGAACGCCAACACGACGTGGCCCCGCTCGACCCAGACTTCTCACGTTGCCGTCGCCGTCGCCGTTGGCAGAAATTTTTTTTGGGATCACTTTCTGAAGGAGCTTAGAAACCAGGCTCAACTCAGTAGCCAAGTCTACTGAATTAGTGCCCAAGCCTTTTCTTGCTTGCGTGACCTTTTTTGTCACATTAGAATACAAGGAACTTCGGCGAGTAGTAAACACAAGCTCAAATTTTTAAAGCAGTAAAGAGGAAAACTTTTTGAGACTGAAAGGTAAGTAAGGAAGTTTTTTAGTGTTTTACAACCTAAATTTAGTGTTTCCTTTTGTAATTTTACAACGTACAGTAAATTGTCAAATCAATAACTCGAAAAGCTTACAGCTAAAATTTAACACTTTATTAATAACCTTATACTTTCTTGATCTGATATCTCAATTAGCGATAACACCAGAAATAATTTGCTTTTGTGGTATATACTATATGTTTACCTAACTTGTTGAAGTACGTTGTCATGAAATAATGCACTTAGCAACAATTAATCTGATTACACAAAACTGAGTCAATGTTTAAATTGTTCCCTGGACTGCCTGGACTGCCTGGACTGCCTGGACATCTGAGGCAACTGATAATGCATTTTGGGAGTGGTAGGGATGCTTACTTCATAGTGGCTATGGCTGTACCTGTCCTTTAATTTGCCTTGTTGTTTGTAATAGATTTTCCTTGCATTGTCTGTTATTTTTTTTCAGGAAATTTTAGTCTGCAAGAAGAAAATTCTTTTACAGAAGAATCCTTTTCCTGTAACGTTTACAACTGTTGCTTACGTTTGCCATGTTTCTGATATTTTTATCATAACAGAATTTTTCACAAAAATTATTTGACATTGAATTCTTATACAAATACTGCAAGGTCAAGCCTGCCCACCAACCCATCAAGGTGGTGTTGAAAACTGCAGTAAGGTCTATTGAATATAGTTAAAGTACTGAATTTCACTCCATGACTTACTACTACAGAATATGGGGCTTTTTATGATTAGGTACCAAACAAAAAAAAATGCTTTCTTGGCTTATTTGCATCAAGCCACCTAATATAATTCACAAAGATTATTTGACATTGGATTCTCGTACAAATACTAGATTTTCCTTGCATTGTCTGTTATTTTTTTTCAGGAAATTTTAGTCAAGGTCATGCCTACCCACCAACCCATTAAGGTGGTGTTGAAAACTGCAGTAAGGTCTATTGAATATAGTTAGAGTACTGAATTTCACTTTATGACTTATAATTACAGAATATGGGGATTTTTTATGATTAGGTACAAAACAAAACAAAAAAAAAAGCTTTCTTGGCTCATTTGGATCAAGCCACCTAATATAATGCAATCAATGTCTTGTTTTCTGTATCGTGAGTCATTGCTCAGTTGGAATTGATATTTAAATCTTAATTATAATCATTTAAATCCAACTGAATGTATTTCTTTCATTACTTTTCCACTGACTGCCAAACCAGCAAGCCTTGAGGCATTAAACTGTGAGGACTTTAAAATCTTTTAATGAAAGGCGTCAGTGGTGCACAGATATGATATGAAAATAATTTTCTCTTGTGTGAGGCATCAGTCAATTTAGGAATTATCAAGTGTAAAATTTCAAGTCAATATGGTCCAGAAACGACTCATTTTTGTAGAGGGTGGAGCAGGGAGGGGTGGAGGGGTCGAAATTATTAGGTTTGCGTACCGTTTTCACTCTTTGCACCCTGAACACTCAGTCATGCACACTTCAGATGGATGCTCAACACAACAGCGTCAAAAAATAATCAAGCAAATAACTAAGACGTGCAAAGCTTCCACGGTGAATATAAATTTACCGCCATAAACAGTGAAAAGGCCTTACAGATTTTACACGTAGCTTCTTTGAAGGTACAACTTCCTATGACGTTCTAACAAGATTATCAAGTTGTCAAATACGTATTTTCATATGATTGATACCAATTGCTTTATTAAGTCGAAATAAGCTTAATGTCAAGAATAAATAAGCGGATTACTACACTTACGACGAATTTTGTGGTCCGTTAAAAAAAGTACTTGGTTCAATTACGTAGTTCACCGAAAGGTTAATTTTGTTTGCCTGCTAGGATTTCTTTTAACATTGAATACATTTTCAAGACCTGTACTCGACGAGGTGCACTTCTTGCGATTGTTTTGCAATCTAGCGAGTCCTTCGGAAAAACGTCACCGAGAGCAGAGCTAAGACACTATTCAGAAGCAAGTATTTTCTAGGTTTGAAATTCCCTTCGGTTCCATTTGACCGTGAGTAGAGTTTAGAATTCACGAAGAAAGTGTATTTTAGCCAAAGGCAGAAGATTCGTATTCGAACGGAGCGCAGCGAAATAAGGTAATATTCTTTCACGCGAAAATTAAAAAAATTTAGGGTTAATAGATAACTTGTCATTGGTTTTTTTCTCGCGCAAGTAACAAAAATGTTCCCTTCCCTGTCCCCATCCAATCGCACTTCAACCAGTCGGGGGAGGTGAGTATAGAATTGTTAACAAATCATCAGAAGGCTTGGTTACCTGATTGAGCCCGGTGTCTAAGCTCCTTCAGAAAGTGATCCCAAAAAAAATTTTTGCTCGCCGTTGTCGGATCGTAAGGTCCCTATTGACAAGTTTTCGGCGCCTGCCAGTACTTTCCTAGCTCATGACGATGAGCCGAACAAACCATCATCTTTTGTATTTGTCCTCAGCGATCTCCAACAAACCAGCCCTTGCTAATATTTCAAACACAATGCGGCTATTCTTCATGGCAAATGCTGCGAATCTTCTTCATAAGAATTTTCAATTATCCCCGTCGCAATGTAAGTCTTTTAGACGTGTTGAATATAACATTTGCATAGTACATTGTTTGAAATTAGCTCAATTAAAAGAAAAGCAAACAGAAAGACAAAAAAACGAAAAAAAACGGATATGTTTTCAATGGAGTTACACTTTCGGTGCATAGCAAGGTAATTTTAGTAGATTAATTACAGTAAAAAAGGTAATTTATCGCCCATGTCGTTAACCATTTATTTCGACCACTTAAAAACTGTGTTCGATGATCCGTGACATTCCCGCGTGACATATGATTGAAATCAGCATTCTCGTAGCTCAGATAGACATGTAGTTGTCTTCATGATTACACCGTTTAAACGAACGTTTCTAAAGCTGTAAATGACAGCATTTTAATTTATGTTTTACAGCATAAGACTGGTCAGGACTAACTGGATGGAATTTTGTCAACATGTCTTTTACACGTCTGCTTGAGACAATTTAGCATAATGTTACGCAGAAGACGTTCCTTTGTACCTTCGTAATTTTTAATTTTGAGGCAAGTTTTGATGAATTTAGGGATTCCTCGCCTCAACAAAAAGCTGAGCTAGTTTTCAAAATGGTCACTTCTTCAGATATTGATTTTGAATGAGGAAGGAAGTAATCACAAATATGCATAAATTAAGTCATGCGCACTTTGACCATGGAATGTTAGCAAGGTTTATCGAGCTCCTGCAGCTCGAAAAGACTAGTTCCCAAATATTATTTTCTTGTTTTTGAAACACTAGTCCTAGTGCTAAACACGGATAGTGGTAAGAACTCCAGATTCCGTTATACTTTTGAGAAAAGCTTCTTGGAACAACAGCACGCTAGCTCAAATTTGAAATGGGCTGTCTGTGTGGTATTTTTGAAACAGCGTAATTCACAATTATTGAGTCAGATTTTAGATATTTTGCTATCAATCGATAGAAAAAACGTAAAATTATACAATATGTCGGTTTTGTGACATTTGATCAAATGAGTCAAGTTATAGAGCTTTCAGCGAAAAGCTTAAAATTGACTCTGAAATAAACAATTTTCTATGTCATGGACCATCCTTGCATATCGTTTCTAAATTTCGGCGTAATAGCACCACGAGCCAAATAAATGCGATTTTTACAGATAAAGTAAACTAATCATCTCACAGTAAAAATTTCAAGGAATTCTGTGATCCGCCGAAATTCGAGCGTTCTGTTCTTACGCGGACAGCCTCTCAAGCAGTAGTGAA